CGGTACTTTCAGCATTCTTCACCAGCACCACAACTCAAAAGCATCAACTCTTCTTCAGTCTTCCTTATTCATTGTCCAGCTCTCACATGCATACCAGGTGATTGGAAATATCATGGCTTGTGTCAGGCGCAGTTGACCCATAACAGCCATCAGAGTTGTAAACTTCTCATACATAATTATTGTCTGCTCTTAGGACCGAATTTTTTTAAAGAGTGTACGTGATTACCCCTAATTTTATAAGTAAGTGATAATTTAGAGGTGTTATGATTCCTTTTGAGGAGTTCTGGTGGTGCAGTAGTTAAAGCATTTGGCTGCTAACCAAAAAGTAGGTGGTTCAAAGCCACCACCCACTCCATGGGAAAAAGATTTGGTAATCTGCTTCTGTGAAGATTTACAGCTTTGGAAACCCTCTGGGGCAATTCCATTCTGCCCTATAGGGTCACTAGCAGTCAGAATTGACTCAGTGGCAGTGGTGAGTTTCTATTAAAATGGTCACTTGAAAGACTTTATGTAAACTGCCTTATACAGAGTAAATGTAAATATTAATTGTCTTGAACCAATGTTACACATTTAATCAATCCCTTCAGTGTATTACATCCAACTCCAGTGTGACCCTGCCCTGAGAAAACTGGGAGGTTCTGATAGAAAAAGAGTAGGTGCAGTCTAGGGGAAAATGAACAAAGGCAGAGGATGTTCTCTGGTGACAGCACCAAATTACCATGCATGAAGCAGCATGGTCAACAGAAGTCTAATGCCTGTCAATATTAATATCTAATGTTTGCCAAAAGGGACCAACAAGAAATGGGATATATAGGCATTGTAGGTGTTTATATTTTCTTTGTGTTGTAAATTATGGAGGTGGAAGCAAGGACCAGGTCTTGGGGATGGAGCCCTTGGATTGGAGATGCATTACCTGAAGGGAGTGTGCGTTAGCACTCTTCATTAAGGGAACTGTGGATGGGGCTGTCCTTAAGTGCTGGTGGTGATATAGAGGGAAGCAGACCTGGAAATGGGAACTTGGTATACAGACTTGAAGGTCAACTGGAAACTCATGTTAGAAGGGAGTAGGTAATTTGAGTCTAATTTTCATAAGGCACACAGAGTGGTCCCAACGTGGAATCAACCCCTGCTTTCAGATCTTCCCCATTGTAGATAAATGCTCCTAAAAGACAGTTAGGCAAAGGCATCACAAGCTTAAGAAATAACTGGACAACTGGATGGGGCTCATGATGTCTCCCAAAACTCATATTTTCAATTTTTTTGTCTTGAGCAGGGAAGTGACATAAAACTGATAATTTTTATCAATTGTTTTATGTGCTTTTTTATACACAAGGATTTTCTGTCATCCTGCACACTAGTGTTACCTAGTTAGATGTGAGTTCTTTTTTCATTGACAGAGATGAACAGGTCTCTCTTTGTTTAGGATGGAAATAATATTGACCAATTTAAAATACAGATCAAAGACTTTTTTTTTTCCCTGTTAATAGGAGTTGGTGATCTCATCCATAATAGACTTCCTGGTGAATATCTTCGAGGCAAGGACAGACAAAGAGCCATGCTTGCTGCAGTTCGACATCACCTGAAGAAAGTTAACTGCCAAAACTTTGACACTTTGCTGGCAGCCTTCAAGCACTATGACAAGGCCAGTAGCAGAGCAGAGCTTTTTGGAATATATATGGGATTACAGATCCCAGTAGTTTGATGCAGATTAAACCCAATGCCATTGAGTGGATTCCAATTCACAAAGACCCTAAAAGACAGAGTAGAATTGCCTCATAGAGTTTCCAAGGCTGTACATCTTGATAGAAGGAGACTACCTTATCCTTCTTCCATGGAGCAGTTGGTGGGTTCAAACTGCTGATCTTTTGGTTAGCAGCCAAATGCTTTAACCACTGTACCACCAGATCTTCTTGTAGATTAGGGTCAGCAAATCCAGCCCACTGTCTGGTTTTATAAAGACAGTTTTACTAGAACATAGCCATGACCATTCATTTGACCTGTTATCTATGGCTGGCAATGTGCTCCAAAGGCAGAGTTGAGTAGTTGCAAAAGAGACTATATGGCCTGCAGAGCTCAAATACTTACTATTTGGCCCTGTACAGAAAAAGTTTTCCAACCTTTGGTGTAGCTCAATGGTTCTCAAAGTGTTTCCTGTACCACTATCGGCATCATTTGGGATCTTGTAAGAAACATAAATCCTAAGGTGCACCCAAACCCAAACCAAACTTGTTTCCACTGAGTCAGTTGTGACTTATGGTGACCCCATGTGTTACAGAGTGGAACTGCTCCATAGGATTTTCTTGGTTGTCATCTTTACAGAAGCAGTTCTTTAGACCTTTCTTTGGGGGAACTGCTGGGCAGTGTTGGAATACCCAATAAGCAAGGTAAGCACAGGCTTACTTGTGCTTACTTACTAATCTCTAAAACAACCCAAACTCACTGCCATCGAGTTGATTCCGACTCATAATGACCCCCTTTGGGTTTCTGAGGCAGTAAATCTTTATGGACTAGATTGTCCAGTCTTACTTCCACAGAGTGGCTGGTGGGTTTGAACCACCAATATTCTGGTTAGCAGTCAAATGCCTTAGACACTATGCTACCAGAGCTCCTTTACTAATCTACAAGGAATAATTTTACAGTTTTTCACCACATTAAAGATTCTGCTTCTAGATAGGCTTCCATCTGTCTCTGTCCCAACACTGTAGCACCTTCATACAGAATCAAACCCTAATTTTAAATTTACAATACCTGACAGGGATGGAGGAGTTCTGGTGGTGTAATGCCTAAGGCATTTGACTGCTAACCAGAAGGCAGGCGGTTCAAACCCACTAGCCACTTCTCAGAAGGAAGGTTGGGCAATCTACTTCCGTAGTGATACCACCTCAGAAACCCGAAGAGGGGTCGCTATGAGTTGGATCCGACTTAATGGCAGTGTTGCATTTTTGCATTTGTGACAGAGATGGAGTACTCAGTAAGCAAGACTTACTTGTGCTTAGTTAGTAATCTGTAGTGAACAGTTTCACATGTTTTCACCACAGATGAAAAACATCACATCTTTGCATTGGCTGTCAGGAATCTCAGAATCATATCTACAAAATGTATCTAATTAGTGAACATGACCTTTCATGTTCATTTGGTGTGCTATTTTATTCTAGGTTTTATCTTTTTTTCTTCCCATCCTTATTTTCTTTTCATGATTTCCTTAAGTTTTTGCCTTAATTATACCTAATTTTCTAGGCAGCAGAACCATTTTAGAATGACCCTAATATAAACAAATACAAACTAATATATAAAAGTGTGATGATGCAACGTACCATCTTGATATTAGAGGAAAAATGGGAGTGTATATCCAGTGTATATCAAAAAGGAAAGAGAAAATATTCCCTTCTCTCTGCCAATGTTGAGCACAGTATGGTAGTTAAAGTTGTCAACTTGACTGGGCCTGGTTGAGTGGCTAGACAGCTGGCATCATTCCCCACGATGAAAGTGGCAACCAGCTCCATGGTGGTATCTTCCAGGAGCAGCTGAGTAGCTGTTTTAGGGATGTAGTCTGCTTCCTGTATATAAGAAGAAGCCTTGGAGTTGATCGCTAGCCTTTTGGCATGCTTGAACCCTGCATGGAGCCAAGTTATTGTTAAACAGCCTGCCATGCCCTGCCAATCTTGGAACTTCATCTGGACTTGAATTAGTGGCCTGCTATGTTGTTTGCTAACATTTTCGGTTCTTTGGTTAGAGGCCTGTGTGCTAATGAATAAAAAGTATTTTAAATATCTTATTTAAATTGGTGTACACAATCATGTAGGAACAAACACGCACAAACCAGTATTCATCTACATTTCTCACAAAATTGTGTTTGCAGAAAGTGTAAGTATTCAATTTGCAGGTGTAGTACTTTATACAAAATATAGTTTTTAATCCTGACCAATTGTTATTTAGGTACAGATAATTTCAAAATGATTTATTGAGATAAAAATATGTTATCTAAAATAAGCTTACATTTTAAATTTTACTCTAATCCAGATATCTTACAAAGATGATATTGGAAGAAATTTACATAGTAGTGACATGAATAAAGGAAGCTACCACAATACATGTTGCTCTGCTTTTTAAAAGCTTTTCATTTTAAATGTAATTATAGGCAAGATGCTTATCTTATTAGCTGATCATCATCTCAGTAAACCACAAGGCATAGTCCTTATGATAAAATTAAATTAAGGAAGGAGGAAATTACTGAGCATTATTTATTGCTGATTTGCCTTTTAATAGTTAACTTTTAATATACACAGTGTAGTGCTTAGTGTCCTTTAAGAAACTTTTGCTCTGAGGGTAATAAGATGTATGTCTTCCTAGTACAACTGTAAGTTAATGTTTAGTTATATTAATATTATATTGTTGGATACTAAGATTAAATGGACAAACAAAACAACCAAATTATGAGTTCCTAAGTTAATATTCTTGGTTTTTAAATAAATTAATTCTATATTTATTGAGCAGTCACTATACATCAAGCAGTATATTGGCTAATGTGCAGACTTTCCTGTTAGGGAATTTACAATCTAGAGAAGGAGTAAATCATAAATCAGGGTAGCAGTAGGTGTACAGGCCTGGCTTAAAAGAGCATATTGTTCAATTTTCAGGAACCTTGCATGCCATTTGACATCACAATGGGAGGTTGAAATTAGCCGATGGAAAAATTTACACCATAAAAAGCAGGTTTCCTCCCCCATCCCTGGAGAAAGCAAGTTGTTGAACACTGACAACACACCACCGGAACAGAGTGAGAGTGAAGTAGTACGACAAAGTCAGAGTCTAACCACTGATTTTGGCTCTTGTCTGCAGAGTATGTAATTCATGACGGATGTTCTTAGCAATGCACACAGCTGATGATTTTTCTCTTTTAATTTTCTTATTAAGCATGTGTAAAATACAGTAATTCCTACTTGCTAAAGGATTATTTTTGTTGCCAATATATAAACATTTTTAACTTAAAAATAGAATAACCTCCTAAAATAAATGTTGCATAATTTTTGCTCTGAGGCAAAGCACTGCCAAGAACTGTGAAGGATCTGAGATTTTACCCTACATGCAACCTAACAAGTTAGTTGGCCACAGTTTTATAAATGCTGGTAGCAGGCACAAGAAAAAAGAATCATGGCAATAGCATTACCCAGAGTCTCAGCATTTGCTCCAGTTCCCCAAGTTCCAATTACATAGGTGACATGATGACAACTAGTGTACACACAGTGAATTCTGTTATAGGAGTGGAATCTTGAGTTTAGGGAACCTGAATCTTTTATAATAGATAGTAAACTGCCTGACCTTTGTCCAGGAGAGAGACATTATCTTTGTTATACTGGAAAGTAAACAAACCTGCCCTTTGCTGAGAGGGAGACAATATATCTCTCAAAGCTTTTCACTATACAAACATCGTGGAAAAGATAGTATAGAATGAAGGCAGCTAGTATCTTTTCTTGCTGGAAATGCAGAAATATGAGAGACTCATGGAAAATGGTCTTCCAAAAATATCCACTCCTTGTTTCTATACCACTTGGCAAATTTTCCTATAAGTATTCCACTTTATTGTTCATACTGATTAATCAGACAGATAAGTCCAGTTTGTTTTGTATAGCATTTCATGAATGCTGCTATCAGTTGCATCTGAAATAGCTTCTTGTTGTTATGTGCCGTCGAGTTGGCCCCAACTCATAGTGACCCCTCCTTGGATTTCTGAGGCAGTATTACTACGGAAGTACATTGCCCAATCTTCCTTCCAAGGAGTTTGAACCACCAGCCTTCTGGTTAGCAGTCAAGTGCCTCAAAATAGCAGTATGAGTCAAATCTGAAGAACTGACCTTAACCATGACTTCCAGGGGCCTAGGCCCGATAAGCTGAAAAAGTTCCATCTATATCATCAGGTTTCTGTATTTAACTTTCTACTTGGCCTAAGGCATTAAAGCAGATGTAGATTATTATTGATTGCACAGACTCCAAGTTGGCCTGCAAGGAAGAAGTCTAGGGCAATTCTATCATCTATAACAACTTTAGCCAGTGAGGTGATGCTGATCTGAATACCCTCCTGGGTCAAGGTAGTGTTCTGGAAAAACTTTGTATCACTTTTTCCACTGTAGCAATAAATGCATGCAGAATGCACACAAATGAGTCACTATCTATCCTTTGAGCTCCCTAGAGTAACAAGGAATAACTTTATATGGGAGAGATCTCCACAGTTGTCTGAGGAGTACAGGATCTATTGCTGTTTTCTTAAACTTTTTAATTTTTTTCTTTTTTTTTTACATTTTCTACATATAAAATTTAGTAACTGATTACATTTTGAGTTATGCAGCCATTTTCACCCTCCTTTTCTAAGCTGTTCCTCCTTTATTAACATAAACTCAATGCCCTCTACAGTTCCTATCTAATCTTTTGAGTTGCTGTAGCCACTTTGATCTCATATAGATAATTCTTAAAAGAGTATAATGCTCAAGGCAGACTTTTTTTTTCTCCTTACTAGATAGGCTAAACTTCTGCTTGGTTTTAAGGAGGCTTCAGGGGATATTTTTGGTTTAAGATTTAAAGATTATCTTAGAGCAATAGTTTCAGGGGTTCACCCACATTCCATGCCTCCAAAAAATCTACAGTCCA